TCACCCAATTGCCGAAATAAACTAACTCAACTCATCATCATCATCGATGGAACGACTTTGAAATTGCATACGAGCATGATCACATGAAGGAAATAAGCGACTGAACCTCATCAATCGCATGACGGATGAGGTCTAATGCCACACGACTCATATGAGTATTTGAATACCTCAATAACTCGTGCACGTGCTGCTGTTGCTTGTCGAGACGTAGAGTTAGTTTGGCCATGAAATGTAGTAATATTGATTCAGCATGGTATCCCCTCCCTCAATCACGCCTATGCAGTAGAGCGGCCAAGTCCGAACACAGATCGTCGCTTCTCTTTCCATCATCAGCAAAGATCTTCTCCACATCAGCTAGAGTAGCATCAGCACTTTGCTCCTCTGCATGGAGACGCTTAATACTAACTAAGAGCTTGCCAAAGGACTCATGCGACAACCTGAGGCGGGTGCCATACGCTGCCATACGAATGCTCAGCCTACCTCGACCTAGCCATTTTGAAGAACCTCTTAGCATCGATCTTACTGGGAGGGCCCCCAGCCCCGCTATCACCACTCACATCAGGCATAGCACTCTGAAGGAGCACAAATGAACATGGATGAGATAACAGATTTCACATCGTGGGACTTTTGTTGCATGTCAATAGCCGATATCGATGATGAACTGTTATTGACAGGAAACGTATGAAAAGTTGTGGCACCAGCCTCATGCAAGTTGTTGCTAGAGAAGCACCCTGGATTGGGGAAACCAGACTGATGATGATTCTGACTCGAGGTAAAACTGCCGTATACACTGGCCGAGCCCACAGACTGAGAGACCAAGCTCGCCCAATAATTATACACATCATGCCTACGGTAGTGCACATAGGTGTGGGAGCCGGGGAAGCCGCCATAGGAGCGATGCTCTGACAATAGCATACCACATATAATCAAGAATAATAGCTCACTTGAAGGGGTATCTCTCTCCTAAGGAAGTTTGTGTCCGCGTGACCACTTACATCACCATCGTGCATCCTATGTGATTCACTCTGGAAGGATTCCAAGCCTCCGACTAGAGTCTGCTTGAGACGCTTGAGGTGCTCCAACTGTTGATTTGACTGAGATGGCGATAAAGTGTCGCACTAATACTGAGAGTGAAGGCATGCTCACAACCCTCAGGTTCTGAATAAGGTTCCTGTTCTCCTCCTGTAACTTCTGGCATCTCTCACGAGAATCAATATGTTCCACATTCAGCGCATTGGCTTTCTTTATAGTTTGCATATGCTACCACAGTGTACTACAAAACTAGTAAGGATATACATCAACTTACAGCAGCCTTCTCTTGGTCGAGGCTCAAGCGTAGGACACGAACCTCGTGCTCCAACGACTGCATCTTAGAACTGAGGGTAGTATTCACCATCGACATTCAGCTAAACCCTACCCCTACATAAAGGCATTCTGGATAATCTTAATGCCGACTCCAAGGCACTCGTCAGGAGAGTCCGACAGCTGGATGTTGCGCTTGAACGTATCATCACTAGTCATGTGGAAGGTAGTTGCATAAAAGGGATACAGACACGAGCTCAACTCCAACTGAGCACACTCGATCGTCTGTGAAAATGGTTCAGGAAATGATTACTGCTGCTACCACAGCAATCACAATAATACCACATGTGAAGCTATCCTTCAATACCGGTACGATATTTTCTCAAACAATGGATACAAACACATGCCACAATTTGGTAGGTGTTCTTCAAATGACCTGAGATGAGAATGACAGTTCATCACAGCCATCACACCCATGTTATGATTGACGATTGACTCACCCATGGACGGAAATGTAGTGGTCTCCATTATGTTGTAGAGATACCCAGTCCCCTCCTCTCCAGCCGATACACTTTGGTTTGCACCATAAGTCGCCTCGACGCCATTTCTTCGGCGAGTAGGGTCTCGCACCCGTTCGATACCGTTCCCCGAAAAAACCTATAAAATTCGACTGCTACAAAGACGCCTAGTATGGTTAACAAAATCACCCGGATATATTGACGAACACTTATAACTCAACAATACACATAATGTGTGAGACAAATAGCTCAGCCAATGAACAATTGAGTTTACATTGTCCTGTGCAA